TGATATTCAAAATCCATACAGAGATTTTATATTTCAATTGTTCTTCGGTATCTACCTCTTTCTGTCTCAACAGGACCCTTAACAAGACCTCAACAAGAGGACAAAAGACCCTCAAGAAGAGCATATCAGAGATGGGGAGGGTGGCACAAGACAGGACAACGTTCAGATCTGTCCGTGTTCATCATTATGAGTTGAGTTGAAGTCGACTCAATAGCATCAAACAGAAACATACTAAAATCTCTCACCTTGTCTGCACATTTATTATGCATATTTCAATTTCTATATCTTGTTTGCAAAATTTCTAATAGCTTTAAATGCATATGCACAAAATGTGCAAGAAACAGTACACTCTTTATCTCTCTCATTTTTTTTAAAATTTTTTTAAATTTTATTATTTGTGTGTGTTTGTGTGTGTACTGTCAAATCAGATCTGACTGGTACAGGAGGAGATTGTCCCTCCTTCCCCAGCAGAGCATCTGGTGGATTCGAACCGTGCGCCTCTGGGATTGTAGTTGCAGCTTCTTGCCACTAGGCCACCAGAGCTCCCCTATCTCTCTCATTTTGTTTTTGTATTTATGGGCAGGAGGCTGAATCACATTGTCTCACATCCATTAGTAAATTAACATTCAACCCTAATGGTTACACATGGTGGGCAGCGTTTGGTGGACCTTCCCAATTAAAACAAGTGTGGAAGCAGGAGTAGCATCCATTTCCAAAACAGACCGCCTCCAGAAACTCTATGAACATGGAGAAACAAAGAAAGTTATACAAGTGTTCAGGGCTTTTGTTCACAGGGTGCTATGAGTCATCTATGACTCAACAGCACTTAACAGCAACAACTACAACAACAATAATCTATGGGCAAATTTATGATAGGTGCCCTACAAATAATCTTCCTAAACTTAGCTTTCTTCTATTGACATTTGGTTGGCAAGCCTTAGGATTTTATAGAAATTATGATCATGTACAAAATTCTTTTAAACACCACTTGAAAATGCCATTGTTTTCCTGTTGATTAATATGAGCTCTACTTCTACTAGTTTTCCTTCAAATTAAGAATTTGATGGCTTTTAATTTGTTGCCTTATGTAATAAACTCTCAATCACTCACTGTGCAAGACACTGGGAATTTCTGAATATAAACTCTGATGCTTTAGATAAGTTATGTATTCAAGCTGTCTAGAGAAAATAAAATTAGAAAATACTGTCTTCAAAGTTAAAAGAAAAATAGCAAATTTTTTAGAAATATTATATAACACTCAGATAGTCTGCTAAAAATGCATCTTAATGCAAGAATAAAACAAATCAAAAAGGTACTATGTCTTTATTAGTATTGTTACAGTGTCCTCTTATATTTCCACTATTCTATAAATGTACAGCTATTACAATTCCAAAGCAGAAGCTGTATCTATTGGGAAAAATACCAATATTCAGACTCATGTAATTTACTTTGACCTGTTTTGCTGAAAGATAACACAGACTGTTAAGCATATTAAACCATGATATACCTGTGACAATCATAAAAGACAAGGCTATATTTTTTTTAAAAAAAAGAATTTATCTATGGCTGCATAAATGCCATCTTTAACCCTTTGAACACCCAATTATTTTCTGCTTCGACTTTTGTGTTGCTGTTGTTAAAAACGTGGTTTCAAGGCACTTTGAATAAAACGGGGGGGAAATTGCAAGAAATACAGACTTTAATTACTGGATCATGTGTATCTTAAAGGGTCTCTAGTACTGGATTTGATAGGATTAAGCCTGTTTCTTCAGATTCTGCAGTTATACAGGCTCATCAGATGGCAATAAGTACTAAAGTGGGATAGAAGTTTCCCACTAAACACAAACAGCAGATATACGAAGCGGGGTGTGTATGTTGTAGGGACACAAAAAGGTTAAATTTTCTTTTTAACAGGAGATAGGCAAATATTCCAGGCAGAAACTAAAACATTATCCTGTACACACTAAATATTTTCTTTATAAATAACTACCAAAACTCTCAAAAAGTGTTATAGTATTTCTTTTGAAATTTTATAAAGAGATACTTCAATTATTCTTTATGGCCAGCTTAAGTTTATTGAGACTCAGAGAAAAAATATGCAATAATACATATGCAGATTATTTAATAACTGCAAAACCACTATAGTTTCCCTACCCAAATTTCAACAAAGTAAACCATTTTAACATACCAAATATGCTTTTAAACGAACATAACATTATGTTATTTGCCAGTGAGCCAGAACCAACTCATAGCTAACCCTGCAGAGGTTGTAAATCACACAGAAGAAGACTGCTCATCTTGCTTCATTGGAGCAAATGGTGGATTTGAACTGTTTGCCTTTGGGTTAGCAACATAACTCCACGCCATTCAGCCAACGACCATTATAACTTATTTAAAATCAGAATTGGCAATGTATTTAAGAAATGGCAAGTTCTGGATCATTTTCATTTTTTGACATTTTACCAACAGTCAATTCTACTATTTCAAAAAGAAAACAAAGTGAATACTAACTTTATTTGGGAAAAGAAGAAAAACCAAGAAAGTAAGATAGACAGACATTGGACAAAATTAACTTGACTTTACTGAATAATACTGGAGGGGAAAGGCTGAGATACAGATGACTAGGCTACAGAATTATTACTGTGTTAGCGGCAAAGGGGGAAAAAAGACATCATAAGCCAGTATTGTACTGAATTTGAGGTGGTCTTAGAGGAAATGCTGCTATAGTCTATATACATAGATTATATACGTTACAAGTCAACTGGACAAGACTACATCATTGCACAGAATTTAAAGTGATCCTTTATGGCAATTCTAAATTAAATTTTAAGAGAGAGACAAGGTTCAAAAACATTCCAGCAACAATGAATGAATGGACTTCCAAAATCTCTGTAGATGTTCATTGAAATGAAAAATAAACAAACTAAATTAAAAAAAACAAAACCAAAACATTCCAAATAACTATATATATAAAAAAGTGATATGTTGCAAAATGCACAATCTACCTCAGTAGACTGTATTTGAGTACAGAAATGATATCTCATTCTTCCTAATATGCATAATGTCTTAAGACTGCCACCATACTTAGAGAGAAATGCCAGCACATTTCCAAATCCCTGCCAGCCTTTTTAGGAATAAAAGAAAAGCAGGAAATAGCTTTTTTACAAGTAATGAGAAAGTAGAAACCCTGTCCACATCAGTAAGAACTGAACTCCATGAGGTCTAAGAATCTTCCAACTTACCAGAACAGTGGTTTTCAAATTTCTATAACCTCCAATCAGAGCAATACATACATTTTACGTCACAGACTTATGTGTATACATGTAACTAAACCAGAAAATTTTGTGCAACTCTACATACTTCACATTACCACAGATCATATAAATAATGGATTATTTTTTCTCTTTAAGTGCTGGCTACACTGTCATCCTTTAAAAAGTTTTACTCATTGTAATAGTTAATACTGTATGTCACATGGACATGATTCTTAACGTAATGTAACTAAGTCATTGCAACATGATCAAGAACGTCAGTATAATTATGCCATATGTGGTAAATCCTAAACTCTATGATGTTCATGAGACAGCATCAGAATCAGACTAGTTAAAAAAAACACGATCAACCATTTCCAATTAAGAAGAGACCTCTTCAGGGATATCTGCCTATCATATATACATGTACAGATTCCCTACAAACAGTTAAAGAGGTTTTGGTCGAATCTACATCTGACAGTTCTGTGGGAGACACAAAAAAGATAATCTTAATTCAATGAAAAAAGAAAAATGTAAAAATTATGTTAAAAAAGTTGTTCTTATCTTTTTGTGTTACATCAAGTACATAGTGATGTTTTTATTACACCTAATAAATTTACAAGTATGACATTTTCATTTAAAACATTAGTACAAAAAAAACAAAAAAAAACCATTAGTACAAAATGGGTGAGCCTGGAGGACATTATACTGAGTGAAATAGCTCAGATGCAAAAGGACAAATATTGCATGGTGCCACTGCTGTAAAATGGGACTGATATCAAGGTTGGGGTAAGACTGAGAAAAACTGGATAAATTGTGTATACTGCACTGAAACAGATGAGGGAGTGAATAATTTAAAAGCGATGTATGATAGGGTCTTA